AATGGAAAGTGCTTGTTGATTTGGTTCGTAGTGATCAGTACGAAGACATAGGAAGGCAACGCGTCTTGCAAGAAGAATCGTAGGGAAGGGCAGCGAATAGATTCTATTTTAGATTAATCTACACACTTGGGAATCTACTGAAGGAACAGTAATTTGTAGAAAGTTTGGATCGAGAAATTCGCAGCTTCCTTGGCATTGTCAAATACTGCAGCCGCAAGATGCATCATTCATCGGAACAGGGTCGGAAAGGAAGCGACGTTAATAAAGGAGTGACCATATCTAACTATGGCCATAAGAGTTATTTTGACAATTGAGGCTAGAAACACCTTCCTTGCATAAGTAGTTGCCGTGTTGACAGAACACCTTCCAAATGACTCCGAGTGGGGTCACTGCATGGCGCATACAAGAACGGAATGGATCTGCGCCAAGTGCATCATTTTCAATTTACTCCATCGAACTGACGTGTACAGAAGCATTTTGAAGGTGTTCAAAGAAGTTCCCTACTACGGCGAGGGAGTAATAGAGTTTTCGAGTGGCTTCGAAAATTTCCTTGACATTTCCTCGACGCAGATTTCTCGCGAACTAGAAAGCGTTCGAAACAACTGGAGCACCTATCAGAAAGCGCAAATCTTCTACTTTACAACGCTTCCTCCGATTTCAAAGCATTGCCAATGAAGACAGCTACTGTCTTCCAAAGAGTGGGAACTCGCATGTAAATTTCAATTTCCTCGACAATTTCCTCGACGTCTCCCAACTCTCGAGAATAGGAAGTGCTTAGAAAAAAGCTCAGCACAATTTAGAAACTAGAAGTCTTGTGCATTCAAAAGCTGCCTTCTTTTTCTGAAATGGTTGTCAATGAAGAAAGTTATAGTCCTTCAAATAGGGGTACATTTGACGATTTTTCCAACTAGCGCGCTCCAGGCACAGCGCGCGACGCGACCGCGGGTAGTTAGCGCCGCTATACTGGAGCTTGACATTGTTAAGCTCCCTGTGTCCATGTCCATGTTCTACTCCCGTCCTTCCCTAGTTGTAGAAGTCCATTCCCTGTTCTTGTTTTAGTTTCTCGTCTCTCGCAGGTAAGTCCTGGTCCAGTTCTTCGCCTGTGCAGAGCTAGGTTCGAGATTTATCTTTCGATGCAAAAGAGAGCGACGCTGCCTCTCTCTTCTGCATCTGAAGATAACATTTTTTTAATTTGAACCGGTTGTGAGGATGGTAAAGGTAAGGGTCGTATCGGAGCTTCTGATTTGGGGGAGGTCGTGAAGAGGCGGCCATTTCCTCGACACGATTTTCACCCTGATCTGAATGCATCGCCGCTGTCGACATTGACCTTCTCCAGTGACCGCAGTATTAAAGGAAGCGATTACGATAAGGAATTTTCGCATCGGGGGAGAACCTGCGCCACACGGAGCAATTACTTGGCTGCCAAGGAAGCGATGTGTGGCGCTTCCACGGCGAAAGGTGCTGTGGTTGCTGAGCAGGACCTCCGCAGCGCTCCGCCCCCAGCAGCGATCCGCCCACAAGTTTACTTGTTGATTTGGACGAGCTGCGTGACCAGCAGCGGCGCAAATGGAGCATCTCGATTAAAGCGTAGTTTGGCATGGTGCCATCAAACGCGTTGCGGTGAACTCGTTCATACGTCCCTTTCTGAGCTGTTACCTGTTCATGAGTGAAAACCAACGGCCAAAAAGAGGGTCCCGTTTTGCGTTTTCTTGACGGATTTTTCTGCTTTTTTCGCTGCTGGGGGTACCATTGAGCACCACCACGTCACATTGAACCCTTCTTGAATTTATCGTAACCGCTTCCTTTAAGGGGCGGCGGTTCACTGCGCAAGGTCCTACTCATGTTCCACAATATCTTGGAAGGGTCCTTAACCCTTTCGGCCCTGGCGGTGGCAATTGCCACCACCAAATTCAAACGCTTGCATTGCCGCTGAAACAGCATGGTTTTTCTAATCCTGCTAGAGGTTGCTTCAGTCAACCTTCCCCTTCCTAATTATGAGCTAAACCTGCCATTTCATTGTGTGTTGCTGTTAGTATTACGTGCGCCGCTCACGCGACGCGGCAGCGGCGATTTTTGTGTGGGCTTGGCTTTGCGGTCCTTGTCCATAGGAAGCTGGAGGGGTTAGAGAACTGATAAGACTAAAGTTTCAGACATCAGTGGAGCCAACAAGAATCACCTTAAGATCTCTGCTCTCACTTAAGCCTCACAGCCTCCTGCCCAAACTGCTATCAGAGAGCGATAATCTGGCCCAGTCGGGAAAATATACGTTCCAAGACGCAGTGGAACGGTAAGGAAAGCAATAACATTTGTATGGCAGAATAAATTTGTAAATAATGGCAAGGGACAGGGAAGCCGTTCTCTAAGGGAGCAGGTTACCATATGCCGTGTTTCACGACTGGAGAATGCATCTAATCCTACATTCCCCCACGGCCGACGTCGCATCGCGGGTTGCGGCGGCTGGCGCGGCGACCTAGCCACCTCAACGATTGAATCGTCACGCACCCCCATTTCCTCGACACGATTTTCACCCTGATTGAATGACAATCATCGCCGCTGTCGACATTGACCTTCTCCAGTGACCGTAGTATTAAAGGAAGCGATTACGATAAGGAAATTTTCGCATCGGGGGAGAACCTGTGCCACACGGAGCAATTACTTGGCTGCCAAGGAAGCAATGTGTGGCGCTTCCACGGCGAAAGGTGCTGTGGTTGCTGAGCAGGACCTCCGCAGCACTCCGCCCCCAGCAGCGTTACGCCCACAAGTTTACTTGTTGATTTGGACGAGCTGCGTGACCAGCAGCGGCGCAAATGGAGTATCTCGATTAAAGCGTACTTTGGCATGGTTCCATCAAATTCGTTGCGGTGAACTCGTTCATACGTCCTCTTTCTTAGCTGTTACCTGTTCACGAGTTGAAACCAATGGCCAAAAAAGAGGGTCCCGTTTTGTGTTTTCTTGACGGATTTTTCTGCTTTTTTCGCTGCTGGGGTACCATTGAACACCACCACGTCACACTAAACCCTTCTTGAATTTATCGTAACCGCTTCCTTTAAGGGGCGGCGGTTCACTGCGCAAGGTCCTACTCATGTTCCACAATATCTTGGAAGGGTCGTACTCAAAAGAGGTTTGGCTTCTGCTGTCAGAACTCCCGAATCGTTCACGCTAGGCTACTGCTCTGCTCGGAGATTTGCTAGTACACTTCCACCCAGTCCAGAACCCTGGTGAATATGCTGGATGATCACTGTAAGGAACTAAGGGAGATCAGAAGGAACATGACGATGTCAGATCGTGTAGGGAGCTGTTTCGGCTCAGAGCATGTAAGAATCCGTTCAGAATTATTAGGTCGGTCCATAATTTTTGAGAACCTTTGGTGTTTTTCGATTCAATTACTTATCTTATTTCTCTGATGTACTTATTCAGCATAGTATACATCACCATTATTACCAACATATAACCAATGCGAGGGTGGGTATTCAGTGTCTCTCTTGTAGAATTTCATAGAGTTCTGATCGAAGAAATATTGGATGTCGATTTTGACTTTATGGTGATTCAAGTGAGATTTCTTCTCCAGAAGGTGATTGAGAGAGGAGAGCGGATAGTCGTTCGTTGTGAGCAAACGAAGAGTAAACACCGTAGCATCTCACCATTTTCTGCAGTCTTCTTCTTTTTCTTTCTTTTTGAATTTGTCCCTTTTGGGTTCTCAGCTCTGAAAGAAAAGAACTCCAATTAGAAACCTCAACCAAATGACTAGCAATGAAAGACAGTAACTAAAACAGAGATAAAATGAGAGAGAAGAAATGATAGGAGAAAGTAATGTTCTCAGTAACGCTCAAAAACAGTTGTGGAGATCTAGGTACTTGAAGGAGTTGTTGATATGCTTTTGGGGCTATTAAGAGAGGCTGGGAGCCCGAGGAGTCGACAAGGGTGAACTTCGAGTAGCGTGCGCTAAGAGTGCTAGCTTTTCAGCTAACTGTCAAAAAGAACATTGTATAGGGAGCTCCAGTTCATGTGATCCTCCAGAAGTCTGTCACGGTATGTATTTTAGTGATAGGGCGTAGATCCGGATAGACAATTCGGTAAGGGTCTTCCTACATGTATCAGAAGACCCCAGGTAGCTTCAATTCTTTTGGAGGACCATAACGATGTGTAGTGATTAGCCGTCTCTAAGTACTCGTCGCGTTATGTTCACACCCATCGCAACTAAAGCTTGTACTAGACACCGGCGTCCAAACTTTCAACAGGGCAATCAAGTTTCACGAATCTATCACGCCTATAGATGACAGGGCTTGTACAGGCTGAGACGAATGGAATCCGATATACCAGGGCGTTTCCGAGCTGTTCAGAGCACAAGTGAATATTTTGCCAAGCTCGCTGTCAAGCCACGCCGCTCTAATGTTTCAGGAAGAGGCGTTCGGAGTCAAGATGGAGCACTTCATGTAACTCACATACGGAAGCGCTATTGGATGGACGCAGCTCAGCCGCAGCAAGGCAAATGCTCCCCAATGTGACCTTCATCCAACGCAAATCGTACCGTTGGAGGGCAGGTTAGCAACACCAACGACACTTACTTGCATCAGAGTTATTGCAAATTTCGCAATGTTGAAACCTACTAAATATAAAACTGATATGTTGGACGGCAACTTATGAATAAATGTCTGCCGCCCATGAAGGAAATTGATTAGTGGTCCTCACTACTGATTCCCCTGATCGTTTCCTGAAGGAGGAAAGTTACGATGACACTTACACCTCGAAAACGAACCTCTGATGATTCTCCACCCTCCAGATTGCTCTCGAAAGGAGGGATCGCTGGCTAATTGGCAAATGAAAGACCGTTTTAGGCAGCAGCGGTTGAGCTGGATATTGCATTAGAGGGGTTTCACTGCGAGGTGCTCTGGCTCACAACCAGTAGCTGCCTTAATCTTCTGCTGTGGGACGCTATTAGTGTTGATTATTTTAACTCTATCGGATCTGACCATATCAGAGCACACCAATAGGATGTTCCACTAGCATCTTATAATGCTTGATGGTTTGAGGGGTGTGTGTCCAAGAGGAAAAAACCTGGATGGAGATGTATCGGGGCTGGTCGAAGCATCATTGTCACATCCGTCATCAAGCACAGTATTCGATGCTTTATTCTCGGCCGTGTCACTGAAACTAGAATTGTTAGCACATAAATGTATTGACTTGAAAGTGAGTAACGTATGAACCTTGATGGTTTGACTTCTTTGGAAGAAGATTCTTTTTCAGACTGTTCGACACCACCTTTGGGTCTAGGTAACTCGTTCAAAGCCTTGTCACTGAAAAATACGCCGAAAACAGTTAAAATAGAGAATGTAGAACCATGAGTTTAAAATTAATAACAAAATCATTTCGAGAAAAGACGTTCCATTCATCGCAGTTGCGCCAGTTCAGCAGCGTAACCTCCGATTCAGAGCAGAGACTTTGCGAATCCGTTAATCTGTTAGCGAATCGCGAGCCCTGAGCAATGCGCCAGCGGCCCCATCTATGTACCAGCGTTCGGATGATATAATGCTATTTGGTAGCGGGAGTCCCCCTCTCACTTCCATATGATGCCGAGCAAGGTGAAGCATCGGTCGGGGAAATCCTCGATAGGGAGGTCGTACTTGTCAGGCTGGGTCACGGGGGGGAGTAGGAGGGTGTAGCGCAGCAGAAAGCGAATATGTGTGAAAAAACATGATATAAAATATTCTTTGCAGGTTCAGTCGCTCCATTCCTCTACCTTTATGAGAAGGTATTTGAAAGCAGTACAAAGAATGAAAGTGCATCTCCGCAAGGAACGGGGCCACATGTGCACACGCGCTGCAAAGGCACCTCCTCATCTACCGCCCGCTCCCTCTCCCTTAATACCTCGTTGAGAATGACACTGTTGTTAGGGACGCTGTCGCAAAAACGACAACCGTGAAGGAAAGCCCTGGGCAAATGAAGTTCCTCAGGTTGTAGGAGTTACGAAATGTGTTTACTACAATGCAGCTTCTGTCAACTGGTCATGATCATATAACACCTTTCAATCGATTCTGCAACTTCGAGTGAGGTCGGATGCATGGCCTATACCCAGACAAAATCGGATGATGACGATTGCCCCTTTTCTTATTGCTTATGTTGAAGAATGTATTCTAGACACATTTCGAGCGTTGCCTTCGAATATGTACTCTAAACGTAGGATCGCTAACTGGGAAGTTCCTTCCTTCAAACTCTACTACAATGGAGAAGACACCAAGCGGAACGGTGTGGCCATAGCGGTAGCGGAGTCGCTCAAGGACTATGTCTCCGCTGTGAACACGATCAGCGATCGGATATGGCTATACTCTCCGTGTACGCACCGCAAGACAGGATGCCCCGAGAGTGAGAAGGACGAGTTCTACCTGAGCCTGGACGAAGCCATAAGATCGGTTCCGGAAGGCGATTACCTGACCATAGCAGGTGATCTGAATGGTCACGTCGGCAGTGACAGAAGAGGCCTGGAAAGGGTGCACGGAGGTAGAGGGATAGGAACGAGGAACGCTGAGGGAGAGAGGGTTCTGGACCTGGCTACAGCCCACGATCTGGCAATCTGCAGCACGTTCTTCGCGAAAAGGGAGACTCAAGGTAACCTACAGCAGTGGAGGGAGACAGACGGAAATCGACCATGTGCTGGTAAGAAGATCATCCCTCAAAACTGTGAAGGATATCAAAGTACTCCCCAACAGAGGCCTTCTCTTGGCAGACATGCCACTGACCTCCTAAAAGAAGGCAAGGGTAAGAACGAGAGGAGAATCCGGTGGTGGAAGCTGCACCAAGCGGAGAAAGATGACCTCAAACGAAGGATAATGGAAGTTGGTCTCCCAGATCCTAACGGGCCAATACAGCGGACTTGGGGCAACGCGGCTGAGACCATCCTGCGATGTGCCAAGGAGGTACTGGGCGAGACGCGAGGTGGAATCAGGGGAGACAAGGCAGCGTGGTTCGGGGTCAGGAACGAGGATGTCAGAGCGGTCATGCAGACTGCCCCTGTCCAGCTGAAGGTGAGGGAACAGCGTCTGCGATGGTATGGGCACGTGCTAAGGAGGCCACAGGATCATCCGATAAGAACAGCAATGGACTTCGAAGCACAAGGCAAGCGACCGCGAGGAGCCCAAAGAAGAGGTGGAGAGACGTCATCAAGAAGGACCTCACTGAAGTCAGGGTCACAGCAGAAGATGCTCTGGATAGAACAACATGGCGACGGCTGACAAAAACAGCGGACCCTGCGACTGCGCGGGACTAACGCTAGGGAGTAAGAGAACAAAGCTGTAAGGCATTTTGCTGTGACTGCCTGAACGAGGATAGGATTAAATTATTCAAAGTCAACCCACTTGTGAAATATGCCACGCATTCCACTTCTATTCAGAGTAGTACTGCATTTCAACAACGACTTGTGGGGGCCGGTCCACAGGCGCGTGCAAGTCAGTATTTTTATCCTCCCAGACGAGTTTCGTACCCATTAAATGACCTCGCGGAGTGGAATGCTCGGCTGGCCTTGATACCTTTTGACCCAGGATTTGATCCTCGACCGTGCCCTGATAAAGAATAACACCTGCTACCATACCTCCTCCCACCGGAATACCTTTCATACCTTTCCTATAAGAGCAAGACTCACCAAGCCAGGTTTGCTTTTATTCGCTCCATAATTACAGCTTCAATGCCACACCGAGCCGCATATTCTGCATCCTTCATGAGCAGACTGACGAAAAACTCACAATACGGTGACAGTTTTATCTGAAATAAGATTAATCGTCAGTCTATGAAGGCGATGGGGTGCATTTTGGTGCAGTTCTTCGTGTAGTATTAGGTTGTCAGAAAAGTCTTTGGGATTTTGGCAAGTTTTTTTCCAAAATTGTTTTTCTTCTTTAGTGCAGCCAACAATTGTTGAATACATACACCACAATAATCGTCGAAACATTGCTCTTCAGCAGGCAGCTTCAGGTTGCCGGCCGTTCAGAAATCCCGAGTTTTGGGCGGAAACTCAAGAGAGGTTGACTCCTACTAGTCCATCATCGGACTGCACCTATTTCAGTACTTCGACAGCAACAGAGGCGTATGGTAGCCTGTCTCTACCTGGTTTGCTGTTCTCAATAAGTGGGTCAGATCATTTCCATAACAAGCTCGTCCACGAAGAAAGAGGTGGTGACCTTTTCTGAACCTTCTTTGTGGACGAGCGTTGCCGACCTGCAACATTGTCTCTCCAATTTGCTGAGTACCATGCCGGGGAACAATCCACTTGCATTCTTCTTCTCCCTAGCGTTAGTCCCGCGCAGTCGCAGGGTCCGCTGTCTTTGTCAGTCGTCGCCACTTCGCTCTGTCTAGGGCATCTCCTGCTGTGGCCGTGATTTCACTTAGGTCCTTCTTGATCACATCCTTCCACCTCTTCTTTGGGGCTCCTCGCGGTCGCTTCGCCTTCACTCTTATCGGGTGGCCTTGCGGTCTTCTTAGCACATGTCCATACCACCGCAGTCGTTGCTCCCTCACCTTCAGCTGGACAGGGGCAGTCTGCATGACCGCTCTGACATCCTCGTTCCTTTACCCTGTCCAATTACGTCCAGCCGCAGGCCCAATATTCTGAGCAAAGTAGTTAGGATTTGTCCACTTAAGTGTATTTTATAAAGGCGAAAGTTGTAGCGGCAAGTGGCACGCTTACCACGCGAGCGGTCCGGGGATCAAATCCTGGGTCGTGAGTCGCCCGGGCCAACCAAGCCTTCCATCCCTCCGGGGTCGGTTAATTGGTACCAGACTTGTCTGGGAGGATAAAAACACTGACTTGTACATCGGCTGGCCCCCGCAAGTCATTGTATAGGCCACATCGCATTCAAACGCCTACGAATGTACAAATGGAAGTAGAATGCGTGCCGCATCCCAAAAAGGGATTGATCAACGGCAAATGCTTTATCCTTTTATCCTTATCAGAATCCACTTGACACTACCAACAAAGTTGGCTGATCAAGCGATAGACGGGCGGCAAAGTCAAAATGTCCTTGCAAAATTTTATGGTTTCAATAGCCTGTGGTCAGTCAGATCTCAAAATATCCTTTCGCCATAATTTCACTTCTTTTGGAGGCGATATTGAGGAACGGCCATTGTGGTCTGGTAGCACTGAAAGAGCTCCGCCAATTACCGTGCATTGCACTAACCACTCTCTCCAATCGAATTCAGAACACACTCGTCAATGAGGATGGCAGGCTGGCCAGATTTGTGGTTCTTTCTCAACTATCCTGAAGCTTGGCAACCAAATAATTAGCATATTGTAATCTGGAGGTCCATCACAACACGTAGAACTCCTACTGTTTGGCCTCAAATGACGCATTTTGTGGGCTTATAAAGGCAGGAGCAGTCGAACGTTTTTAAGCTTCAAACGCTGCGAAATGCTACGACAGAAATGCTGTGAGAGAGAGCATTAACCACCGCTCATATGCGTTTGACAGTGAATGTTTCAAAACAATTCCTAAAAGATTTTGCAAGGTGAACAAAGAAATGCGCAAGAACTTTTCCGACAACCCAGTACATTGCATATGACAAGCACACCCAATTTTTATAGAAAGGAGAGCTCCAGGAGTCGATTCGCTCGTGAAAGAACAGAACTGAATGGGTACTTTCACTTTCCTAGCCGATACTAATGATAAAACTAAATGTTCTTTGTGATTTCAGATGCCTAGAATCCTGTGCACCAAATGCCACTCCCAGCTGTCAGTGTAGTGCCAAAGATTGCTTCACTGAAAAAGATGAGAGATACAAACAAAACAGTGGACAAACCCCATGGAGTATGGATGTGTCCTTTTTGTATACAGTGATGATCCCTTTCTTCTTCGTTGTAAAAGCACTCCGTACAGGATGCGCATTGGAATTTCCTAAAGAAAGAGGAGATAGAAAAATTTCAAGTATAAGTGCTTCTTCTATCTGCGGAGCTCCCTTGGTCCTGTTCAAAGATAGTGCGGTCGAGAAAAGGTGTTAAACGAGTGTAGACCACCCAAGAACACGGTCCGTTCCTTTTAGTAAGGGCTTGTGATTGCAAAAAGAGGTCTTTCAGGAAAGTAGTAATATTTTCCCACTACATTTACTTCGCTACTATATTTTCTAGCAGATTTCCTAAAGGTCCAAGAAAGCAGAAACTATAACCTCACCGATATGATATGTGTTGGTAAATGTGTTGAATCAGATCGTATCTAGAAGGATTGTTTGCATCACAAAGTAGGCATTTTAGGAGTCCTCTGAATAATAATCAATGATAAGATAATCAGTTTCAGGAAAAGTTAACAGTCCAAAACTTCCCCAGACAAATAAGCACACCCACTCAATAATGGATAACTTCATTAGGCTTATGTTTCTACCTCGTGCTTTCACCAGAGTTTCTGGAGTTAGAAAAAAATAATACTTACGAGCTCAAGGTCATCCCACACCCCATAGTACACCTTTACTGACGAGCCTAGAAACTACCCGAATTCACTGGAGGCGAAAGCATTGTATCTTTGCCACCCAATGCCGACTATCTTGGACGTAAAAACAACGGTCCGATATCAGGAGGGGGCCAGCGTTCAAATGGATATGGCGAGTGATCTGAACAGCGCTCCTGGATACAGTAAGGTTTCTTTTATTTAGTTGATCTTAGCCACCGGTTCAAGTTAAAACTAAAAACCTTCAAACGCGAGCATTCGGGGCTAGTGACAAAGTCCATCGGTGGGTCGTCCAGAACGAGTAAGCCGATAGAGTGGGGTGGAGCGCCCTCCTCACCCCCCCCCCACACACCACACACACAGAAGTAGAGATAATCACTTTGCCACTCTATGCCAGTAGATCAAAGAGACGTAAAGGCCTCCAACAATTGGTTCGCAACAGCAGGAAACAAAACGGGCTTCACTATTCCAGAATGTGTATGTTTTTCACCGCTAATCAGCTATCTGAGCAGGGTGAAAATCGTGTCGAGGAAATAACCGCCTCTTTACGACCCCCCTCCAAAACATGAACTCTGATACGACCCCTTTTTGTCCTCTGCACATCCGGTTTTATATCAAAAAATGCTAGTTTCAGATGTGCGAGAGGGACGCAGCGCCGCTGCCACGCAAATGCGGCTTGATCCAAATGCTAGATTCAATTCTGCTCAGATTAGGTTCTCCTTCTTTCCTTTAAAGACATTTAACCTTTGCCACATTGGCCGGAAAGTAGAACATTGAAGGAGGTACTGCCCCTACACAGTTGAACAGTCTCGCGCTCCAGTATAGCAGCGCTAACTAAACGCGATCGCATTGCGCGCTAGTTGGAAAAATCGTCAAATGTACCCCCTATTCAAAGGACTATAACTTTCTTCATTGATAACCATTTCAAAAGTGAAGGCAGCTTTTGAATGCACAAGACTTCTAGTTTCTAAATTGTGCTGAGCGTTTTTCTAAGCACGCCTATTCTCGAGAGTGGGAGACGTCGAGAAATTGTCGAGGAAATTGAAATTTACATGCGAGTTCCCACTCTTTGGAAGACAGTAGCTGTCTTCATTGGCAATGCTTTGAAAATCGGAGGAAAGCGTTGTAAAGTAGAAGATTTACGCTTTCTGATAGGTG